TCCTACCTCTCTCACCTTACTTACAGTTTGTCTTCATGAAGTCTTTGCCTACTTGCCTGATCTGATTGACTTCACTGTGTGAAGGCTGTTGTCTGTTTGGCTTCATACTATCTTCCATCCTGATCCATTCTATCTAGCTGCTTATAGTCTTCGTGCTTTCACCTCATTGCTTGCTTGACTATGGCTTGTCTAGTGTAGTCTACCTTCCGCTGCATATCAATAGGTTCATTTCTATTGTTTGTCTTCAAAACACCCTTGTTTTGAAGACTTTCATAAAAATCGCCTATTCACCCCCCCCCCCCTCTAGTCGAATACTAGCACTTTCACTTGGCAATTCATATCTAGGAGGATTAGTTCTAGTTTCAAGATTTTCAGTTTCAAGTTCATCATCAGATTCAACAATAGCATGTTGTCTTACTCTAGCAATTTGTTCATCAAGAAATTCACCTAATGGCACATCATCATCAAGCAAGGTACTAGCATCATCATGAGTAGCATTCATAGCAGAAGTAGCATAATCAATAACTTGCAACATATCAGAATTAATAGCATGTGGTGGTGTTGCAAGTTTGCTTATAACAGAAGGTGAATCTAAAGCGGAGCTGGATGGCAGTTCCTTACCTCCCCTCGTCTTAGAGGGAAAAATCTTAGTCTTAGCATCTTTCAAATTCTTCATAGTGATAATATGATAATAATCCCAAGTGACTCAACAAATATAGCTATGCTCCCCGGCAACGGCACCAGAAAAAGGTCTTGATAACCCGCAAGTATAGGGGATCGCAACAGTTTTCAAGGGTAGAGCATTCAACCCAAATTTATAGATACGACACAAGGGGAGCCAAAGAATATTTGAAAGTATTAGCAGCTGAGTTGTCAATTCAACCACACCTGGAGATTAATTATCTATAGCAAAGTGATTAGCAGCACAGTAATATGATAGTTTTGATGATAGTAGCAGCAGCAATAGTAACGGTAACAGTGGTAGCAATGATTTTGTAGCAGTAACAATAGCAGTAGCGACAGTAGTAACTTAGCAAGAACAATATAAGGTAAATTCGTAGGCATTGGATTGGTGACTTGTTGGATGATATTCATCATGAGACATTCATAACCTAGGGTGATACGGCACTAGCTCCAGTTCATAAATATAATGTAGGTATGTATTCCGTAAATAGTCATACGTGCTTATGAAAAGAACTTGCATGACATATTTTGTCCTACCTCCCGTGGCAGTGGGGTCCTATTGGAAACTAAGGGATATTGAGGTCTCCTTTTAATAGAGAACCGGAACAAAGCATTAGCACACGGTGAATATATGAACTCCTCAAACTAGAGTCATCATCGGGAGTGGTCCCGACTATTGTCACTCCGGGGTTGCCGGATCATAACGTGTAGTAGGTGACTATAACTTGCAAGATCGGATCTAAAACATGGATATAATGGTGATAACATAAACGGTTAAGATCTGAAATCCTGGCACCCGGGCCCAAAGTGACAAGCATTAAGCATGGCAAAGTCATAGCAACATCAATCTCAGAACATAGTGGATACTAGGGATCAGGCCCTAACAAAACTAACTCGATTACATGATGAATCTCATCCAACTCCTCACCGACCAGCGAGCCTATGAAGGAATTACTCACTCCCGGTGGGGAGCATCATGGAATTGGCGATGGAGATGTGTTGGCGATGACGAAGATCGAAGATCCCCCTCTCCGGAGCCCCAAACGGACTCCAGATCTGGCCTCCCGATGAAGAACAGGAGACTGTGGTGGCTCCGTCTCGTGAAACACGATAATTCTTTCTCCCCAAATTTTTTCTGGAATAATGTGATTTTATAGCGTCGGTTTTAGGGTCATTGGGGCCACCAGTGGGGACAACCCACCTGGGCGCGCCTGGAGGGGGGGGCAGGCGCGCCCTGGTGGGTTGTGCCCACCCAGGTGCCCCCCTCAGGTGGCTCTTGGCTCCAGAAATTCTCTTTATTGATATAAAAAATCCTTGCAAAGTTTCGTTCCATTCCGAGAACTTTTATTTCTACACAAAAACAACACCATGGTAGTTCTGCTGAAAATAGCGTCAGACCAGGTTAGTTTCATTCAAATCATGCAAATTAGAGTCCAAAACAAGAGAAAAAACGTTAGGTAAAGTAGATACAACGGAGACGTATCAGCGAGCCGGCCTCTCAGTGGACCCAGTTTGGCCCAGTGATTCGCTGGTTGGGCTTCTTCGGCCTTGTTGGGCTCTGGGCAGCGTGGGTGGTTGCTGGGCCGCTGCCCAGTCATGTCAGGGGTCCTGACAGGCTTCAAGGACTTAATTATTCTCAAAGTCGTGCTTGCCCGTCGCCGGCCAAGCACGCCGTAGCGGCGGAACTCTGGCTTTCGGAAGGTCACTGGCATGGTCGGGGTTCTGCGCCATTTAGCTCCTCCGCGGGTGTTCTACACGATCGTGGCTGTCCACAGGTTTCATTTTTTAAGAAACGAAGTTTGACGTTTCCCTATTCATCCACTTGCTCGCGACAACGGTGGGGAAGATATGCAACGATTATGGTGATAAAACCATAGGATCGACTAGGCTAGGGTTTTAGAGTTGATTGAACTATCTATGATCTGTTTGTGTTAATACCTTAGCGTTCCAGCCATCGCTGGTTCGTCGATGAAGGTCTGCGCACGGGCAGCGACGGTCGGTGTGGTTGACGGTGAAGTGTGTGAGTGGCGGCGGTGGAGCTTCCCATCGCTTCAGTGCCTCCCTCTAGATCGGATAGGGTTAGGAGTGGGGAAAAGTGGCGGTGACGAACCTCGTACCCCGTGCCCCTGGTCCCCACCTCCTCTTTATAGCACTGCGCGACAGGGGCCCACCAGCCTTGCTTGGGCTGGACGCCCCCGATCAGGGCGTGGGGGCCCAATGAGCCGTTGGGCCCATTGGTGGAGAGATCAACCTAACATATGGCAGTAGTGTCATCCGGCGAGCAAATCAACTATTGACCGGGAGGAGGGAAGGCTGTAGAGGTGGAAGCTGTTGAGCGAGAAGGGAGTATTTAACCAAAAACTACCACAATTCACGGAACCGTGACGAAAAACTACCACTTTACAATTTTGTGCGAAAAACTACCGCTTTTTTCCTAAACCGTGGCAAAAAACTATCAAGTCTGAAAAGAGCCCGATTTGGCTCTTTTAAGTGCGTTTCTGACAGAGTTGGCCCACACATAAGCAGGCTAAAAAAGCAATCGGGTCCCTAGTTTTTTTTAAAAAGCAATCCAGTCCTCGGCGAGGCACAGCACGCTCGCGGCGACGGCGGCGGCGGTGGCGGCTGCTGCGCACGCAAGCCAGCCGGCCAGCAAGCGGCGAGCGTCGTGGCGGCGGTGCTCGTGCTCCTCTACTTCTCCTTGCTGCAGCAGCTTGCTGAGCAGCAGCAGCCCAGCCCCTCTTCTCCTTCTCCACTGTCTCCTCTCCGTCTCCTTCTCCTCTGCCTCCTCTCCTTCTCTTGCAGCAGCAGGACGGGCACGAGCTCCTCCTCTCGCGCAGCCCCGCCGCACTGCACAGCCGCACCTCGTCGCAACCCCACTGCCGCACGCGCACACGCAGCCGTGCGCAACCGCTCGAGCAGCCGCCCCGCCGGCTTGCCGCAGTAGCGCGTGCAGGATCCTCCCCTTGCCTGACGCAGCCGGGCCCCATGGCACGCGCAGCTCGCAGGGCCGCCGCAAGCTCGCCACGCCGCCGCCCTCGCGCATCCCAGTGCCTCCTCGCACGCGTGCACGCAGCCGCCCGCCCCCTCCAGTCGCTGGAGGACTGGATTGCTTTTAAAAAAAACTAGGGACCCGATTGCTTTTTTAGCCTGCTTATGTGTGGGCCAACTCTGTCAGAAACGCACTTAAAAGAGCCAAATCGGGCTCTTTTCAGACTTGGTAGTTTTTTGCCACGGTTTAGAAAAAAAGCGGTAGTTTTTCGCACAAAATCGTAAAGTGGTAGTTTTTCATCACGGTTCCGTGAATTGTGGTAGTTTTTGGTTAAATACTCGCGAGAAGGAGTAGAAGCCCAAGGGGTATCTTTTTTGAGCATGCCATTCGACCGCTCAAAATTGAGAACTGACGGGGGATTCTCCTAAAGAAATCGAGCGGCAAAACTGAATAGGAGTTTGACAAGATGTCGCTTAACTCTTCAAAAGAGATTTTTTTAAGGATTTCAACCATTTTAAAGGTTTGGCTAGATATGCTCTTAATGGTTTGAATTCATGCTTCATCCGACTCATTCAAAAGTCCGAATTGATAAAAAGAGGCGGGCAATATATTTAAATACTTCCCTTCGATGTAGGCCGTAGAATCTTTTTTAATATTGCGTTGGCAGGCTTTTGAACTCAAGACATTTTGGCTCGGATGCTATATTGAATTTATGCTCTGGCCAAGTCATCCAAAAGTCCAAACCGATAAAAAGAGGCGGGCGATATATTTCAACAATGGTCTCGACCCCACTGAGATAAGAGAGCACCCGCTTGAGGAAAGGAAATCAAGGAAAGCAAAAGAATAAATAAAGGACCCTGATAAGTGCCACACGTGTGACACGAACACATGACAACTCTGAATATTTTTTATGCCAAGTTTAGTGATACGTTACAAGCATGTCAACTTTTTGTGAAAGACAAATTTCAGTTTTGTTTGGGGTTTGGTTTTTTCTTTTCGGATGGCTACTTTAGTTATAAAAAAGTCAGAGCTGGAATGCTTGGTGTCACACGTGTAACGCTTATCATTTAATTAGATAAATCGAGTAACTGGTAAACAGGTGGCCGGTCATCATCTGCTTGGCCCCTAGTTTCGGTTCTTGTGAACTCGTGAGCATGTCCTTTTCCTCGAGCTCTTTCGCTAACACACCTCGTGTGCCGTCTAATCTAAAGCATGTCGTTGAATACATACATATGCACGCAGCTCGTTCACCTGTTCTTGTTCCGTTCATTCACCTGTTCCCGTGGATCCTGCACCGGCAAAGTACGTAGGCATTTCGGGCAATACTCTAACGATTTCTTTCCAGCGGTAACCAGCCCAGCATTCCCTGGAATCTCTCTCTGGGGCCCTGTGAATGTGATTTCCTTTACGCGACCAGCCCACCAATCTGGTTATCTCGGACGCTGTTGAACTCGTGAGCGTGTCCTTTTACACCGTCCATGTCCTGCCACCATTCTCAAAGACATGTGTGCGTGTCAGTAACTGTCCGTCTTTTTCCCGGGACAAAATCATGTGGCGCATGTCTTAGCTGAAAACGCCAAGCCGTATCTTGTTTGATCCCGACTGCAAATCGTTTTCGCGGTTACAAAAGGCTCTGGACGCCTGGACCACTTGTCGTATCAGTGCACTCTCGTGATCGCCCTTCCCTTCCTGGTTCCCGGATCGAGAAGCTTCACGACTTCACTTGCAGGTTTGTGGTGTCTTTGGCAATGAAATTTCACAGAAAATAATTACGCGACCCTGCTGTCTGACTCGTTACATCTTCCACAATGGGTTATCATAGTAGTAAGTACTCCCTCCCTTTCCTAATATAAGACTTTTAGCTTTTTTTTTATTCGTATGTATTTAGACAAATTTGGGTAGTATTATAATTATGCATATTAAATAGGCAATTTTATTAACGTGACATGCCATTAAATAATGAAAGAAAAGACTTGATATCAATACCATGATACCGTGTCATATTAATGACACCTACCCGCCGCCGCGTCTCAAAAAAAGCCTAGGGTTTCTCTGCCTCTCGCCAGCGGTCCACCTCATCTCCGGTGGCTCTCGGGCCATGTGGTATGGTGGACCCCGATTCTTACCGGCGGGAGGGCTCCGCTTTTAGTTGTTTTGGGGGATTTTGTTAGGGTTTGTGTCCTGCTCAGGAAGTCGAGACGACAGCGGCTCTCTTGAGATGGAATAAGGTTATTCCCACCAAACCCATGTCCCGGTGGTGCAACTAGCATCGTCGGAGGACGTGTGGAGGTGTGTTTCCTGTGGATATCGTGGGATTCGATCGGTGATTGCCTGTCATGGATCTGGTCTTCGTTCGTGTGTCCTTAGGTTGATCCTTCTGATATATGCGTCTCTTCGTCGGCGGTTGTTATTCTGGTCGTTGGTCCTGTGGGGCCTTAGCAAAACGATTTCCCATCTGTTTACTACAACAAGTTTTCTCCTGCTCCGGCAAGGTAGGGGCGATGACGGTGGCGCGCCTCCGGCTTGCCTCTGTGTGTGTAGTCGTCGATAGGTGGTCTATGAATGTGAAAGTAATTTTTATTTTTTTATGTTCATTGGACTACCATGATTAAAAATAAATAGATCAGAATTTTTTCGCCACAAAAAAATATTACCTATGAAAAAGCTTTGACTAAAAATTAGTCGAAACCCTTGATTTTGTGAACATGTTTTTGTAATATAGCAAACATGCCCGGACGTTGCAAGAGAGAGAGGGGGAAAATATCTTGCAGTTTAGCAATTCTAGTCAAGTGACACGTTTATCTTGAAAATATGTCCGTGCATTGTAATGGGACAAACGAATTCTTGCTGACAATCGATTTTTTTTTGGTAAAATGAATATTGCAAAAAAAAATTGCCAGCTCTCCAAGCCTGTTCATAGTGCACCGCCGGGGGGCTTCCTTCATTGGGCCAAAACAGGTGATCGGTTCCAAATAGCACACTGAAATTAGTTGAAGCGGGATCAAAAAAAGGGACGAAATCAAGAATATCACGTCTCTTTAATAATATGTATAGATAATGGATGGGGTGTCCTATAAATGGACACTCACAATTCTGCTAGTTGCCTAATTTAAAGTTCAACACGTTGTGGATTCAAACATTTGATGCTAAATCACAGAGAGCTCATGGATATACATACACATTAGAAAGTTTGCGGGGAATCATCTGACATTTGATGTTAAATTCAGAAGAAGAGAAAAAGACAATTCATGTTAATATGTAAAAATCGAAAAAGTTGGAGGTGCGGGGAATCGAACCCCGTGCCTCTCGCATGCGAAGCGAGCGCTCTACCATATGAGCTACACCCCCTTTATATGTGACCGTTTGTTCACCTCTTTATTACTCACTACCAATAATATCAGCATCTTTTCTACGAAATCGAATCTCTACCGGAGCATGTCACTGAGGGTGAAAGTGGTTTACCTAATTTCCAGCACGATCAGAGGCTAAAGGATTTTGACATCCAAACACAATCAATTTCAAATCAAAGTATGAATGTTAGGATGGGGAATTGCTAATATTCTAGTACTATGCATTAATCATGCAACTTTTAGTGATAATATATTCCTCATATATGCATGTGGTGTATGTGTGTTTTTTATCCCACTCGGATTTCCATTACTGTACAATGTCTAAATCTGACATAATCCAACAAATCCATTATTCGAATCTTGTATCCTGATTTCGATTCCAAAAGATAAATAAACAGAAAATAGGATACAGTTCAAGCACTGTCCAACCAAATCCGTTCAAGAGAAACTATCCAACCAAATACACGGCAGTTTCACCCCTACATAGCATTGATATAATCATTCGGCCCAATTCCCGGCAATGCAAACACAAGCCGAGATTACAGTAGTCAAATAAGTAAGCCAAACTTAAGAATCAATTGTTGTACTTATACAATGAGAACAGTAGCACGATGTCTTTTCGTTTGAGCATCATCATCAGACAAGTAACTCATGCGGCAACCACACCCGATATTTACAGCCGTCTGAATCAAGTCAGCTCCCAATACAACACAAAAGGGTGATAAACCACACCCTTACCTCATCCCGTTTTACATTCCCTTACTTTCCCAAGAATCAAGGATCGACAGCCAGCAGCCGAAGCAATTAGCTCGCACCAAAAAAAGGAAACAACACATCCCTCGAAGGCATCATTACTTATTCCATGCCGCCTTGGTCAGTATAACATCTAATTCTACATTGTAGGTCTTCTTCGTGGCATTTGTACAGATCAGGCAAAAGCTCATGTCATCTTTTTCGCTACAGGATGGTTATGTCTCATCGCCCCCAATTTATCTTACATTAACTTCATGCTTCATCCTTCATACGAGTGTTATGTAGTATATCGCCATAAGAGGCAACCTTCAGGAGAAGACAACAAAACCAAAATCATATTATCGCAATTACCAAAAAGTAATCAAATACTGCACCATGACACCGGAGCAACACTATGAAGTGACCAATGCATTAAAGTTTTTTCTTGAAGCATTTCCTATTTCATGGCAGGTTTCGTATCATTAATTATGAAGATGCATAGCACTAATGTATATATTCAAAACGTTGGTACAGATGTTACATTTCTGCTATGTTAGAGCCTGCCAATAACTAACTCACATACTTCACATTTTAACATGCAGTGTTATCACGAATCTTGGTGAGATCATGTACGAATCCTACAAACCACAAGTTTCGAACTTACCACTCTATCCAGTTGAAGAAGTGAATTTAGTTGGCCTTCATTTACAGGTTCTGGCAAGGGACGCATCTGACCCATGACACCAGGCGTCTCACTCATTCTACAGCATAGATTTATGTATAAGTGAGCAAACTTCAACAAGGAACAGATAGCATATTGGCATAAACTGTACAAATCATGCTCTGTCTTGCATCTCACTACTTTAATTTATGAGACAAGGACTCCTCTGATGACAAAAATAAATGATAGGAATGTCCTCAGCTAAAGATTAACATACACAAGTGGTGTCATCACTCACTCGGTTCATATTTACAGCTCCTTCGATCTGATAGCTGCCATGCAAGATCCTACACATTCTTATAAAGAAATGACTCGAACAAACTGAATTAAAGTAGATGACAAAAACTCAAACATATAAATCCTACGCATATGTCATGTGTGCGCAATTAAAGTAGCATACAGGAAATAATTGAAATACAAGAAAAATGCAACAGATAACAATGTCATACCTTTTCAAAATTGTTTGAATATTGTTATTCGTGCGTAGAAAGAGATCCATGTTCTCCCCCAGCTATAGGAAATTTGGAATTTCAGACACAATTAGCACAGCTCAAGCTTTCATGTGTAGCTTTGAATTAATATGTGCTGCATGAAAATGTAAATTTTCATTTACATGTTCCATCTGTGGATGGATGCCCCTAATAATAAGTGCCCAGTTGCCCACTACCCAATACCCATTTGGTAAAATATGCTCAGTGATAAGAGACAAAAGGTAAATCATGCAAACCTTGAAAGTTTCAATATTTGCAGAGATCTGATTGAGTAACTGGTTATTTTCCTCCAGAAGATGCTGAGTTGCATTATCTAAAACGAGGACTGCTTGAGAACATTAACATATGAAAATTATTAGGAGAAGTAAGCGAAAATGAAATAGGTCCATGAAATTATACAAGGAAAACATTCTTTGATAGTCATCAATTCATCATATCTAGGAAGAATTATAATCACATTGCTAGTGTGTAATGCAGCAAATCACTCTAGCAGACCCGGGTACACAAACTTAAGACTACATTTAGTTCTTTAAACTCATCGGCTTCCATATGCTCGCTGGAAGTGACACTAAGCATTAAATTCCAAGTGATACAGGTATCCATGGTTTGACCACAAAAAAAGGAAGGAATTATCTCCATGTAATTAACCATAACTCATAATCTCAAGAAATTAGTCTTCGACCACAAAATAGGATTTTAAAGATGTTGGATAAATCTTTGCACACATTTCAAGGGAGGAAACAACATTTGGCCATTACTGAAACAAAAAAATTGTATCTGGGATCAACCTTCATTTGTAGCCAGGCTATTCTGACCTGGATGATGCATCGACATCGAGAAGGGGACTAGATTATTTGGAGGTGCCATCTGAAAATTGGCTAGTGAGGTAGAAACAACCATTTTCTCCTGCAGCGATGTCCAGGGAACTTCATTATCGGAAAAACAAGATTAATACTCCTGATACAAACTAAAGGATCTGTGAAAGGTTCAAATCTACAACAACCAGAATAAGTATCCAAATGAACCAATCATTAAATACGAGACTACCTTCAAGTCCCTTATCCTTTTCCCAGCATAGAATTCATCAGGTTTCCTCCTCCTACTCTCCTTTCCCTAGAATGGAAATAGCACATCAAGAAAACAGGAAAGGACCCCTCTGTTCTCTCTGCTTGTACACAACTACTGTGGTTGCAACAGGGGAAAGAACACTTACAGCAGTCCATCGGCATCTTAACGCGACGTCCCTGATGGTCTTAGTGGGCAGCATAGCAGCAATCTTGATGTATTTCATAATGGTGGGCTCACGAGCATACCTGGTGTTGCCATTAGCACATTATTAAGTCAAGCAGTGCCCGCGTGGTAGCAAAACAGCGATGAGGAGGGATTGGGGTTGAACCTGGCGAGGCCCTCTTGGAATATGGAGAGCTCATAGGGGGTCCAGTCGGAGGGTGAGCCGGTGACGAACTTGTACTTGGGCGGCGCCCCCTGGAGCACGGGAGCGTTGGGGGAGGGGAGGAAGACGGGAGGGGCAGGGGGCGCGGGGGCGGGGGCGGGGGCGGAATCGGGATTGGATTGGAAGGAGAGCATGTTATGGCGGTGGTGGTGCAAGGAGGAGGCCCCCTGGTGGAAGCCCATCCCCATGCCCATGCTGGAATCGGCGGCCATCTCCTCGAACATCGGCGAGAGCGGGAGGCAGAGCAAACCCTAGCTAGGAGGCTAGGAAGGCCATGGCATTTCGTAGAGGTAATGCAGCCTTAGAGGAGTAGGGAAGGCCTGCTCTGCGGGCAATGGTACCTACTGTTTGCGGGCACGAGGATATGATTCTCGAATTCCCCGGCGACCAGCAGCCGGAGGCGGAGGCGGAGGCGGCGGAACGGACTCAGATGAGACGAGAACACTCCTGCGGCTGCGGCTGTCCACGCTACTAGACTAGTACACCCTTTCGCTTCTTTTTTTAAGCATTCCCAACACTTCTTTTTTAAGCAATTTTACCGGGTGTTCATATAATTTACGTAATTTAGAGGAAGTTGTAAGAGGTCTTTTCTCGGTTCATGTAAACATCTTCCTCAAAATCTGTTATTTTTTCTTCTATTTTTCACTAAACAAGCATACAAATGTCAGATGCATCTATATAGTATCAACATAATAATTCGAACAATTTATATCAGACATACATACTTAATGATCATTTCAAATCCACAATTTATAATTTTGATTCGAAACTTATAAAAATCAAGCATAAAAATCACTGCAAGTAGAAATAACAGGAAGAAGTTTATTGACCATGAAGCAACCACAAATGATCAACTAGATCATCGTTGTTCATGTCTCCTGTCTGGCGCTTCTTGTGGCGACCTAGGGTTCGCCTCCTCGTCCCCCACCCCGGCGGCGGCAGATCCATCTCGTCCCAGCCGCCTTCGGCAGCTTCGGAGACCAGCGACCCAACCTCCCTCTCTCGTCCGCATAGATCCCAACCCATCTCCACCAAAGGCCTTCCGTGTGAGTCTGGGGCACGCAGTCGTACTTCCACCAAATCCCTAGCTTTTTTCGTTTCTCCGGTGACGCACGGGCGGTTGGAGGCTGGGGGGTAGCATGGAGGGAGTCGAAGGAATGTTGAAGAAGATGAACCTGTCCGAGGCAGAGAGGAGGGGAGTCAAGGTGGGCTGGAAGAGGGCGACGGCGAGGGAGGGAAGTGTGCCAAAGGCGATGGGGAAGCTGATCTCGGACAGGCCAGGGTATGCAGAAGGGATGGCGATTGCGCTGGGGCGAGTGTGGTGCCCGATGAAGAGATTGGAGGTCAAGGAGATGGGGGAGAACCGATTTCTGTTTATGTTCCATCAGGAGGCAGGAAAACGAAAGGCGCTCGAGAACGGGCCATGGACCTTCGGCAAGGAGCTTCTGGTGATGGAGGATTTCGACCCTAGGAAGACACTAGATGAATATGTGTTTGAAACAGTTCCAATATGGGTCCGTATTTTTAATGTTCCTTTGGGAATGATGTGTAAGGAAATGGGGGAGGATCTAGCAGATGAGATTGGGGAATTGGTAGAAGTGGATTCGGGTGAGGATGGCTCGGCGTTGGGGCGGTGCCTGAGAGTGAAGGTGCGAATCAGAATTGCTGAGCCACTTATGCGAGGAATCTTTCTGGATATTGATCCAGTGGATGATGGGGCAACGGAGGAGGAGGGAGGGGAGGAGGAGGAAGAGAGGGGAAAGGAAGACGAAACGGGTGGGAGGAAGAAGAAGAGAAAGGAAGATGAAAGAATATGGTGCCGTTTTGAGTACGAGTTTTTGCCAGACTTCTGCTACACATGTGGTAGGCTGGGGCATTTAGATAAGGACTGTAAAACAAAACTCAAAAGGGGACAAGCTGCTGAATTCGGGAGATGGATGAAATATGCCCCAGAGAAGCCTCAATCATATGACATGGTCCGGGGTGGGCCGAGGGAGACTAGTGGAGGCAGCTCGGGAAGGAAGAATGGTTGGTCGAATAGTGAGGGAAAGAGCAGGAGTGATGCACCATCGTGGAGGAAACCACCAACTTGCACAACCGATGGGGGTAAGAAGAAGTATGATGATGGGGAGGAGGTCACGAGTCCACTTAAGATTGGTCCAACTGCAAAGAGGGCTAATGACACTGCAGTGGGAGAGAAGAATAAAAAACAACTTGATTTTGGGAGGGGGGACGCCAACGAGCCAAGCCTGGCTGGGATGGAAAACATTACAGAGATGGCAGTAAGGGGTGGTGGTGGCGTGATAGTGGGTGTTGGGAATGGGTCGAATGAAAACCACAGTGTGCCAGGGAACAAAGAGGAAGATGGGGTAGGTAATATTATAAACAGGCCAAGGGCTGAACCAAAAGGGAGGAATGGGAAGTTCAAGAGAAAACCCAGGGAGAGTGCCGAAGGCAAAACGTGTGGAGTAATAATAGAAAAAAGAGGAGGGGGGAGGAGATGGAAGTGGACAGCCAGGGGTCACCGAAGAAAATCAAAGGGAACGAAGCAAGTACCCAAGAAATGGAGGGAGTACACACCATTTTGAATGCGGGACTGCCGAGTCGGTCCTGCGAGCAGAAATGAGAATCATCACATGGAATTGCCGGGGTTTGGGGAATGGCCCGGCAATTCGAGGACTCCTGGATATCCGGGAGAAGGAGGACCCCGACGTACTCTTTTTGTCAGAGACGAAATTGGTACGTAGTAGGCTGGAGTGGCTGCGGTGGAAATTGGGCCTTACGAATATGATGGTTAAGGACTGTGAAGGTCAGAGTGGAGGTTTGGCTTTATTCTGGAAGAATGAGGTGAACTTGAGAGTGGTGGGCTTCATGTCTAGATATCACATCGATTCGGAGATCACGGAAGAGGACGGGTTTGTGTGGCGATTCACAGGGATGTATGGGGAGCCGAAACATGATGAAAAGGATAAAACTTGGCGTCTTATGAGCAACCTGAAGGCACAAAACAACAAACCGTGGCTTTGCTCAGGAGACTTCAATGAGGTTTTACACCCATGGGAGAAGGAAGGGGGGGGGCACCTAGATCACAGAGTTGCATGGACAAGTTTAAAGCTGCACTTGAGGCGTGTGAACTTGGAGACTTGGGCTTCATAGGAGATGCATTTACATGGCGGAATCACAGCCATACTGCAGTTAATTACATAAAGGAGCGGATTGACAGAGCAGTGGCTACACAATCATGGTGCAACCGGTTTTCTGCTTTTAAGGTCACTAACGGAGAACCTCGACACTCGGACCACAGACCAATCATCATTGACACACAAGGAGGAGCTAAGAGACAGCAAGGCGTAACTCGGAGCTCTACGCCGAGGTTTGAGGCGAAGTGGCTGGAGGAAGAGGACTGTAGGGCGATGGTAGAAAATGCTTGGAAGAAGGGAGTGCAGTTGGAAGGAAAAAGGGTGGCAGCAGCTGTTAAAGGAGTCATGGTTGAATTAGTGGACTGGAGTAGAAATATTTTGGGGGACTTGGAGAAAAGAATTAGCAAAACAAAGAAGGAGTTGGAGAAGTGTCGAAGGAGCAGCATTAGTGCAGAGCAGGTTCGGAGGGAGGAACTACTTAGATTTAAACTGGGGAGGCTCGAGGATCAGAGGGAGTTATATTGGAGACAGCGGGCACATGTCCATTGGATGAAGGGAGGCGACCGAAATACGAAGTTTTTCCATGCAGCAGCCTCGGATAGAAAGAAGAAAAACCACATTAAGAAATTGAGGAGACAAGATGGTACTGTAGTGGAGGAGAAGGAGGCCATGAAGGAAGTCGTGACTAACTATTTCCTTAATCTGTTTACGTCCCACACGGCTACAAGAATGGAGGAGATGATGAGTCAGGTTGATGCACGTGTTACCCCGCAAATGAATGAGGTTTTGAATGAGCCCTTCTCTGAGAAGGAAGTGTTTGAAGCTCTCCAAAGTATAGGTGACCTGAAGGCCCCTGGACCCGATGGTATGCCATCGGTGTTCTGCAAAAAATACTGGGACATTGTAGGAGAAAAACTGGTCGCAGAAGTGCTTGAGGTGCTGAATGGGGGACCCATGCCCGAGGGGTGGAATGAGACTTGTGTTGTGCTGATTCCTAAGGTGCAAAATCCGGAATGCATGAAAGACTTGAGACCAATCAGCCTCTGCAATGTTGTTTATAAGTTGGTCTCTAAGGTACTTGCAAATCGGTTGAAACAAATCCTTCCAGACATTATCTCACCTAACCAAAGTGCCTTTGTTCCGGGCCGATTGATCACGGATAATATTTTGCTTGCTTATGAATGTACACACTATATGCAGAGAAAGAGAAGAGGAAAGGAAGGGTTCGCTGCAGCGAAATTGGACATGAGTAAAGCCTATGATAGAGTGGAATGGGATTTTCTGGAAAAGATGATGTATAAACTTGGCTTCGAGGAGACATGGGTCAAACGGATCATGCTTTGTGTGTCCACGGTGTCATACAGATTGAAAGTGAATGGAGAGTGTACGGATGTGTTGCTGCCCCAATGCGGCCTCCGTCAAGGTGACCCCCTCTCACCGTACCTCTTTCTCATTTGCGCGGAGGGGTTCTCCTCCCTACTGAACAGGGCAGAAGTGAATGGAACTCTGACTGGTATACGTATTTGCAATGCAGCCCCTAGTTTCAACCACCTATTGTTTGCAGACGACTCGTTGGTACTGATTAAAGCTACAAGCGAAAGTGCCAGGTATCTGCAAAGTGTACTACATCTGTATGAGGTGTGCTCGGGACAAATTGTTAATTACTATAAGTCATCGGTCATGTTCAGCAAAAATACAAGGAGGGAGAGGAAGCAAAGTGTCCTGGCGGAGCTACATATCAATACGGAGGCTAGATCCAAAAGGTATTTGGGGCTACCTGTTTATGTGGGACAAGATAGAGCAAAAACCTTTCAGTATCTCAAGGAACGAATCTGGAAAAGAATCCAAGGTTGGATTGAGAGATTGTTGTCTAAGATGGGGAAGGACGTCCTAATTAAAGCTTGTGCTCAAGCAATCCCTACTTTTGCCATGTCATGTTTTGACCTCACTAAATCCTTATGCGAGCAGATGGGGAGCATGATATGCCGATTTTGGTGGGCAAAGCAGGAAAAGCAAAACACTATGCATTGGCTGAGTTGGGAGACTCTGACAAGGCCGAAGAAGGATGGGGGCCTTGGATTCCG